AGATTTTACATGGGCATCCAAAGTCAGAGCTGAGTCAATTGTTGAATTAATGAGCTCTTTAGAAATCAGCTGTGCACCACGGGTGCTGGTCTGGGCCTTTCCTGCGTGTTGTTCCCCGTTTCACCGTCAAATCTGTGGTTTCAGCTTCCAGATGATTCATTTTCTTCAGAATCTGCTTTTTCATTTGTTGAGCCTAAATGCTATTTGATGCCTGTAAATTCTTTAACTTCCATAACATCTACTTAGCATGAGGTCGGCCTCCAGTTCAAGCATTAGTTTAAGTGCTCGAGCGCTAAGACTATGCAGAGACACATCTTCAAGATTCCTCTCAGTCTCTCAATCCTTTCAGTCTGATAAATTCAGCTTTTTTGATCCTTAGAGGGAAACTGCTGTGACATCAGAGTCGTTCTGCTGCTTCAGTGTTTTGCTTTAGCTGCAGTTTGTAGTGTTCATGAGCTTTAAGATTTTGTTTCAACATAAAACAGAGCATATGGAACTTACAACAAAAGAGACGACCACATCAAGGCTAACAACTCTTTTTACAGTTCTGTCTCAAGTCCTTCGTACCCCCATAAGTAGGGAGGGGTTTCTCCAGGAAGTGTGCAGAACTTACTCATTTAGCTTTTCTAAGGGACATTTAGTTCTCTGATCTCTGGGTTGGCTGAGAGATTCAACCCTCATCGTTGACCTCCAAAAGAAGATGGTGCCTCTGTATGCTGGCCTTGAGCACGTTCCTCTGGTCAATTCAAACCACTCATTTGTATACTTGTGTTTTTTTGGTGGAGCACAATTCTTGAAACAGTAGTCTGGATGTTCACAGGTGGTCCATCACAGAGTTTCACACCCAGGCAGTAAATCAAAGACATTACATTTGTGCAAAGTAATTGCATGTTGGTGCATGTTGGAGATATTTCTCCTCTTTGTTGTGATCAGTGTTGGGGTCATTACTAAAAAAAATGCACATATTAGAACACTTTTTGTAAAAGTAATGTAGTATATAAATTAATTACTAACAGGAGGAAGTAATTCATTACACGTTACTTTCTCATTACTCCGTAAAAATCACCTGAAACACATCGTTTTTCATTAATTTCTTTTTTTTAAATGCATTGTTGGCTCTTGTGTTTTACTTTTCGCACAATTACCATTTAACCATATAAACCTATAGGCTACAGACACACATAATATTTCTCTGAATTTCCACAATGACTCTGGTTTAAAAAATACAGAAAGAACAGGTCCAAACGGAGGCAGTTTGTGAACATAGCATCCTGACCAAGTTAGAGGGGGGATGTCAAGTTGGCAATGTCTATCTTTTCAACCAGTATCACTGCAAAGCATGCAATATTCATCCCAAGCTTTGCATCTTCAAATCGTGACATGGACATGCATGCAAAGGGTGCAGTAAGCTGCAGTACCAGCAGAGGGCGATATTTCACTTCAGGCCAACACGAAAATAATCACAGGAACGCGTTTAAACAGACGTTACTAACATTTACATGTAAATACATATTGCCCCTCCTTAATCCTTTGAATGAATGTTAATAAAAGAAAAACTAATTATTGTTATTTAATCTCACTAATGTGGGAAATATTTATGAGAGATTGTTCTGGCTCCAGGCCGAGGCCATACACGTCAACCCTTTGTACATCCTGATCCCCGCCACCCTGTGCACATCCTTCTCCTTCCTCCTGCCAGTGTCCAACCC